ACACATACCATATCCAAAAAGTACACAAGTCCTGTCATCTCTCCCTCCAAAATATATCTGAAATCTAACTTTTTTTTTAGTTTCCACTTCACTCTAGTCCAATCACAATCATTTCCCACCTGGAATATTTCAACTGTTCTTACTTTGTCAGTATTTTCCCTCACTGTGTCTACTTCCCACACAGCAGCTGGAGTGATCCTTCTAACACGCCAGGGCATGTTGCTGCACTGCTCAGAATTCTCCATGCTTCCCTCACTCAGAACATGAGCTACAGTCACAACACCCACAAGGTTCTGGGTGATCTGATTGTCCTGGCCAGCAAGTCACTTCTCCTGCCTTTGCCTTCACTCTTTCCCATTAGAGTGCTTCATTTTTTTTCTATATATATTTTATTGATTTTTTACAGAGAGGAAGGGAGAGGGACAGAGAGCCAGAAACATCAATGGAAGAGAAACATCGATCAGCTGCCTCCTGCAGACTCCCCACTGGGGATGTGCCCGCAAGCAAGGCACATGCTCCTAACCGGAACCGAACCTGGGACCCTTCAGTCCGCAGGCCGACACTCCATCCACTGAGCCAAACCAGCCAGGGCTTCATTTTTATCCTTAGGACTTATTACCACTTGACATACTCGGAATTCTCTTGTTCATTTCTGTGTCCCCTCATTGGCACGAAGCTTCGTGAGGGCAGAGGTTTACTTCATTCACTGACAGAGCCTCAGCTTCTAGTACCCTGCCTGGCAAATGACAGGCATGCAGTTTTGTGTGTGAATAATGAATGGATATTATTGTGCTCTATATGGCCTGAGGGTAACACTACCCTTTTATTCAGTCATCAAATATTTGGCCATCTACTGTATACCCTTCACTAAGGGGACAGAATATGGAGAAAAACCCCAGAGAGTTTCCAGTCCAGTATGGGAGAACAACTAATAAATAGATATAAAATTACAACATTGTAGGTATCAAGATTGGGGTGTGTACAAACCTGTAAGAACAAATGGGGGGAAATAACCCAGCCAAAGTCGCATAGCCAAGGAGGCCATGTGGGATTTCCCAAGGAAGTGACAAAGGTGAGTCAAAACAAAGAGTAGAGGTGAATTGGACAAAGTGGCTTTGGTGGCAGAAAGTGTAGGTGGGCAGAGAAAGGGGAGGGCAGGTGCAAAGGCACTGTGGTAGAGGGAACATAGTGAGTTCCAGGACCTGAACAGAATAGAGGAGGAAGCATGGGAGGACAGAAGGTTGTAGACTTTTAAATGATATCTCTCTATTCCATCTAATTAAGAACATGTTTCAAAATTCTGCTTTATTCATAGAAATCCCTGCCTGATCTCTAAATTGGTATCAAATTTCCACCTGCTTTATATACACTTAGACTGTAGCTTCCTAATCATCATATTAAGTGTACCCAAAAGGAAGAGAAATGAGAAAATGAATTCAGTCTCTGGTGAAAAATTAGCTTTGTTTATTTGTGTTTAAAATACCTCAATTTACCAGAATACCTGAAGAATGGAATATTCTTATGAATGTATTTAGTTTTTATTGCTATTGTTAACGGAGGCTTAAGAATTAAATTATTTTGCTTAAATCTTCTTGGAAAATCTTGAAACAATAATTTTATCCTCTTTCCTGCCTTATTTAGGGGGTTATTTCACAAAGGTTGGATGGGACATTTTTTGTGCACTTTTATGCATATATGTTCAAAGGCTACAAGCTTTCAGGAACAATGAGCTTATCCTCACAAGCCCCAACCAACTGTTTCTCACTTTCACAAACTTCCATTCTCCCACGGTCCTGATGTAGGAAGAGGGAGAGACACAGGTTGCTTTTCATGATAACATCTGGGGACTGTCATTTGGTGCCTAGATACCTTCTGTACTGGGACTGCCCCTGCCTGAGAAACGAAGCAGAGTCCTTTGATACATTTACCAGGTGAGGCAAACTTAATTTCGATATTTAATCTGACACTCAGACTCGGGGCTTCAGAACGAGTTTCTTGTCCTTGTCGTGTTTTCAATAAAAGTGAGCCCTGGATTTATGTGTCTAGTCCCCCCTGGTTAAAGGACAGCAGTTCTGTCCTTTAGGGCATTTTTTTTTTCTTTTTATACCTGATTTGGAATCATTTGTCATCCAAATGATTTATATTTACTTGTTATCTCTTTAACCTCCTTCATGGGAATAGGTCCTCTGCCTTTCTTTGCCTTGGCATTTAAAAAAAAAAACATGTCTTTATGGATTTTAGAGAGAGAGGAAGGGAGAGGGAGAGATAGAAGCGTGGATGAGAGAGAAACATTGATTGGCTGCTTTCTGTGTGCCCCCTACTGGGGTTTGAGCCAGAATCCAGTGACCTCTTGTTGCATAGGAGGATGCTCAATCCACTGACCTACACCAGCCGGGCAACATTTTTTTTAAGAGTTTAAGGCAGTTATTTTAAGAATGCTCCTCGGTTTGTGTTGTCTGAATGTTCCATCGTGTTCGACCCACATTATGCACTTTGGGAAGAAGTACCACAGAAGTGGTTGTGTGTCCTCCGTGCTGTGTTGCATGTCATGAGGCATATGTGTCGTTTGTTCCATAAAGGGTGTTGTTAACTGTAAATGGAGACATTTTACCCTTGGTGACGAGAATAATAAGGAGGGACAGAGTTTTAAGAATAAGTAAATATTTTATTCCCCAACTGACTGTCTCTGATGGTTTTAACTTCCATTGCTAATTCTCGCCTGAATCCATCGTTACGATGGTTGAACATAGAGATTTTTTCTAACTCTCTAAGTTCTCCCATATTTATTAGTTGTCATTCTACTATAAGACAGTTTCCTTTCTCCCCTTTAGGATGATATATTACTGTCTTTATTCCATTTTGTATTGTTCAGGTTTGGCTAATGAGAATCCTGAGATGAGATAGTGGCTATTTCATCAGAGTTTTCTGTATTAAGCGAGAAGCCAGATAGGTGAATTCTGTTGGTGAATGGGAAAGGCGAGAAAGTGGTATTTGAAGTGAGCTTTGGAAAAGCGGTAGAATGTTGAGAGAAAGGGTGATACGGTGGAGTGGAAAGGAAAAACCGTCTGAATAAGGGGGGCCTGGAATACCTGCTATTTGACAAGCGCGTGGGCCCAGGGCATGATGGGGAAGCTGAAACGGAACAGAAAAACTCCTGCAGGCACCTCAGCATTGTGCACTGGCCAGGCTGGTTGCACTGCTCAGATTTTCCTCCATCCCCCCACCTCTGCTTTTTGCTAAGGGATAGGGTGAGGTGTAAGGAAGGAGGGAATTTTAAGTAGTGAAAGCAGCATGAGCCCCAAACCATACTTGAATACTCCTTCTCCAGGGAGCCTTTTCCAGGTCCCTACTAGGAATTAACCACCCTCCTCTCAGACACTCCCGTGACACCTTGCAACTCTGCTAACAAGTCCATTCTGTCTTGCCCTACTTCTATTGGTGGGTACATCTTCCTTTAAAGCATGAACCATATCTTAATTGCTCTGCCTTCTACCTAGCACTCAGCACAAATGCTCAATAAATGTGTCTCAGTATGTGTGAGAGAAGAAGGGCAGACATGGGGTAGGAGTTTGTTGGGCGGGGGGTTGGGGGGACGTGCTCTGAATGTCATGTTAAGGGCTTTGGGCTCACTCTGTCTACAGCCATGAGCCATGGCAGCTTTTGAAAATTGCAGGGCTGGTCCAGCTGGGATGGAAGGAGAACATTAAAGTGCCCCCGTGTGGCCTGGAGAGCACTGAGCCAGAGGCAACAGCCAGGAGGGGAGAAGGAATGGGAGGAAGTAGTCACCGCCTCCTGAACCTGGGTACCCATTTGAATGGAGGGATTGAAAGAGAAGGAGGGAATTGCACATGGCTTTGAGGTTTCAGGACTGGGGAGCTAGGAGACAGACAGAGGCCTCTTACTGAAAGAGGGATCCAGGGGCCATTACAGAGCACATAAGGGGTTCAGCATGGTCCTAGCACTTCCTCATCCCAAACTCCCCCTGAGTTCAAAACGATATGTGCTGTTGAAAGGTTCAGTTGTGTCAGATATGATGGGAAACGAGATATTGTCTCTAAATGAGGCACAAAACCTGACTTTGGTGTAGTGAACATTTTTCATTTGGCTTTTGTAATGGTTTTATTAAAAACGGATGTTAGTAGCGGCTTTTTAAACCTTGACCTGGGGCCGTGTGAGAGCAGCTTACCATGAGCCGGTCAGCAGCTTTCTTTGGCTCCTGTGTCCCTCCTGCCCCCTTCCTAACAACAGAAAATTTGCTTTGCACCTGCTCCAACTGAGTTCTAAGTGATAAACATCTTGCAAGCCCAGAAAATTGTAGTATCAAATCTCAGCCCCAACTGTGAGGCAGCACTATCATCGGATCCCGCCGAGAGGGGCTGCTTTCCCAGTTCCCCGGGGGAGAGTCCTTTCTCCCCTGGCCCCTTCTCAGGCTTGAACTATGACCCAAACCCAGATTTTAGCCCCCAGCATGCATTGCTCTGGCTGCAGGCCCTGACCCGGCCCTGCATGCTCTCCCTCACCCCGCAGGTCTGGCCTGGGTAGCCCTGAGGTCCCCAGAATGCCCAGTTCCAATGATGAGCATATTTATCCAAGGAGAGGAAATAGGCTTTTCTATTTGTTACAGTCCATCACTTTTCTCCCCAGAAACACATGCTAAAGGAACATTGGATATATCATTTGTGATTTGGTAAATATATAAAAACCTTGCCTGATAATCACAATGTTTCTTTTATTCACATATTCCTTCATACATGAAATGCTTTGTTATAACTCATGATTTATTTTTTAAGAGGGATATTCCCATGTTCACTGCTAAGAAGTGTAAATGTCTTAAACTAATGCCATATTTAGGAAAACTATTGTAAGAATTTCAAATAAAATTAGCAAATACTATTCAGATAGGTCTATAACATCCTAATTGGACTTAGTCTGTGGTTTTAAAGGGAATAAAAAAATGCTGACAGAGACTGTGTAACATTATCTTTATGCTTGCTTCTTAGGTTTTTCAAACAGACCAAAGTCATTAAAAATATTCCTTAACCCCCAAAGCCACAAAAAGGAAGCTACACAGATATATTATGAGAAGGTGGAACCACTGTTGAAGATCGCAGGAATTAAGACTGATGTAACAAGTAAGTCATTTTCAGAATATAATTTTGCCATTAAAAAAAATCACACTTTAAGGAAACAAAATAACCTGAATTTGTTCTTAATCCAAATTTAGGAAGCTACTTGTAATATCTAAAGCTGTTTAAGTGTTTCATAACCTCTGCAGCAGCCAGCTTCACAGTGATAAGTTTGATTTTTTTTTTCTTTATTGTGATATTTTTATTACGATATCAGTATTTTCTCTTTAGAACATTTTTTAGACATTAACAATTAACAGTTGCTTTTTGATATCTTCGTTGACATGTCTGCTATTTACACATCATTTCTGCAACTTGGCAGGCAATGGACTTTCGCTGACTTAAATGTTGGATGTCTTTCCCTGGAATCCTTCATTAGGTGGTTTTTGTTCTGACTCTGACCCCTGCTGGTTAGGTCAACACTAAGCACTTAACTGCTGGTTTTAGATGAATTTAAAGAAGCCAGACGCTTAAATCCATTGTCTGAAATAAGAAAGGTGCTTAGGTTTGTGCTCAGGACAGTAGAAACTTGCTACTTCTGAAGTTAATGGACAGAAGATTAGTAAAATGTTTTTCAACTTTTTGAATTTGGTAACCAAATTATTTTGAGACAAGATTATTTTTCCCATGGGGAGGTGGGACTGAGAAGGAGGGTTGATGCTACTATCGATAATCATACCCTCAATTTTTCTGGCTTTACTTCTATGTAGCTTTACTAATACACAGTGTAAATTTATAGCAGATTTTAATTTATGAAGAGTACTGAGTGATAAGTCTGCCCAGGAGGCAAGGCTGGAGTGCGCTGGGGTCACCTCATCCCAGTGATAAATTCCTGGGGACGGGATCCAGAGTGACCCGGCTTTGCTCAGCAATGTTCCTAAGGTTAGTGAAGCCCACACCTCATGATTGATGAATTGGGGTAGAAGGAAGTTTCTAAAAATAAAATGAAAACAAGAAAGAAAAGGCAATCACTGTGGGAAGGTCAGCCACCTGAAAAGGCTACTACAACAAAAGAAGTTCAAGAGAAACGAACATAAAAAACACAAGAGAAATTTCTGAATTAAAATTAAATTGTAGCCAAAGAACTATAACCCATAGACACTGACAACAATGTGGTGATGGCCAGAGGGAGGAGGGAGTGGGGGCTGGGTGGAGGTGGGCAAAGGGGGGTGTGGGATGAGGACACCTGTAATAGTGTCACCAATAGAAATAAAGTTAAAAATTTAAAAATGTGCTGGTTGGTAACTCTCAAAATATAAAATAAAATTAGAGTATAGAAATTACCCTTTCATCATGTGGCTTTTGGCTTACTTAGATGATTACAAGCAAAAGAAACAATACAAATCTATCATTCTTTCCCACTAAAGATGTTATCACCTCATCCCAGTGATAAATTCCTGGGGACGGGATCCAGAGTGACCTGGCTTTGCTCAGCAATGTTCCTAAGGTTAGTGAAGCCCACACCTCATGATTGATGAATTGGGGTAGAAGGAAGTTTCTAAAAATAAAATGAAAACAAGAAAGAAAAGGCAATCACTGTGGGAAGGTCAGCCACCTGAAAAGGCTACTACAACAAAAGAAGTTCAAGAGAAACGAACATAAAAAACACAAGAGAAATTTCTGAATTAAAATTAAATTGTAGCCAAAGAACTATAACCCATAGACACTGACAACAATGTGGTGATGGCCAGAGGGAGGAGGGAGTGGGGGCTGGGTGGAGGTGGGCAAAGGGGGGTGTGGGATGAGGACACCTGTAATAGTGTCACCAATAGAAATAAAGTTAAAAATTTAAAAATGTGCTGGTTGGTAACTCTCAAAATATAAAATAAAATTAGAGTATAGAAATTACCCTTTCATCATGTGGCTTTTGGCTTACTTAGATGATTACAAGCAAAAGAAACAATACAAATCTATCATTCTTTCCCACTAAAGATGTTAAAAGATTGGCAGAAGGAAGTTTGAAATTCATATTAGGATGAGTGGAATAAACTTATTGGCAAACTCATTAAAATTATTTTGTTTCATATTATTTTGATTTAATATCCAGAACAGTTTTATGTGGATATTACTATATATCATTCAGTTCAATAAGCTTTTGTTGAATGATTTGTATTAAACACTATGCAGAATGGGAGATGAATAAGATATACAACCTGTTCCTGAGTAACCTGTATAGGCCATTAGGGATGCAAATAGTTATTTAAAATAAATGTCATTGGAATAACATAAAAGAACTATGGTGTCTCAAAGGGTGATATTAATTTTGACCACAAGACTCAAAGTATTTGAATTGGGCAGTTTGGGAGTGTCAGAAAAGGCAAAGAATGGTTTTCTGTGCATACATAGCAGAATAAAAGTGAGGGAAGGTAGGCCAGCTAGCAGGCACATATAGGTGGTGTGTGTGTGTGTGTGTGTGTGTGTGTGTGTGTGTGTGTGTGTGTGT